CATTTCATACAAAAAGTCTGTTTATCTGAAGCAGCAAAATAGGCTTCAGTTAATACAGTTCAGTGCCTAGTGATAGATTAAAAAACCAAAACAACAAAAAACCCCAACCGAAAAAAACCAAACAACAACAACAAAACCCAAACAAATAAACAAAAAAACCCCTCACAACAAAAAAAAAAAAGGAGAGAGAAGCATTAAAGGTTTGGTTTGTTTTCAGCAGAATACTTTTGAGTATATAATGCAGTTGGGTTGGTTTTCTCCTTACCTCTTTTACTTAGCCAAAAAGGAAAAAAAAAAGTGGTCATAAATCATAATGAGGTTCTTGGTAAATAAGACTTTATTATGTCAATATAAAGTGAGTAAAAAAACATTTGTTAATTCCACCCATAGCCATGCAGCAAATATCTTCTCATTCACATAATAAAGAATAACTGAAGCATTTACTTTCTTGCTTTTTCTTGACATGGAAAGCTCTCTCTTCTGCACTTATGAAGGTTAGATAGGTGTTGGAAAGGACCCAAAATTGCCCAGTCAGCAAAGACGTGTTACAGTTCAACAATATTGGCAAATTAGAATAAAAAGATGAAGGTTTAGGTGCATATTGCCTATGTATTTTCTCTGCACGTACATCCCTTGAAACCCTAAAATAGCATTTCCATGTCTCTTTTTTAAAATTTTATTTTTAGCCTTTGTCTACAAGGAATGTATTAGAGTTCTTACAGATGGTTCTCTTTTTCTTTAAGGAAAAATTCACTTGTGGTTTTTCCTTGTTTGCAGATGGGACTTCAACCAGCTGTCACAGAATTTGTTAGGACAGCAAACGTAAAATAACAACATGAAATGTGTTCAAGCAGTTACAGAAAGTGGGGGAATATGGGAATTTATCTCCTTCACTTCTCTGAGGTTTTATTTATAGAAAAAGCTTATTTTCCGTAATCTCTTTTTCCTCCAGTACTCACAGACTTGAAGTTTGATTTTGGTTTTTTTTTTTAGGACATTGATTTTTTCCTGCCTCATAAATCTTAGTAGTAGAACTACCTAGGAACTAGCTGAACTTCTTTTAAAATGTGATTTACCTCAACTTTTAGTGGGAATGTACACATTTTAATTAAAGTTTCCACTGAAAGCTTTCAAAAGTTTCAGGAAGACTAGCAGAAAGGTCAGAATCAGTTAGACACTTCATTGGCTTCACTGTTGAATTCTGAACTGAATTTGGGGGTCTCCTGTGTGCTTCTTGAAAGTCACAAGATACCAAGTCAATGTCTTTCAGCTCCCATTTGGTACTCATAAATGATGACATGCGTGCTGGAGGACTCCATTTCAGTCCTGCAAGTAGGGCAAGTGTCTTGGCTGTGGTTAAAGGAGAGCAGGGATTAAATTTGTGTGTCTCAGATGGCAAGTGATTTCTGTTGGATGATTGGATTTTCTGGAGCTGCTTCTCCTGAACAGTTCAGCAGTTTTGGGTTTCAGCCTCAGATGGAGCAGAAACTTTTTGAACTTTGAGTGTTGCAGAGGAAAAACAACTTTCCCACCCGTATCTGATTTCAATATCTTCCAGGTGTGCTAGCTGTGGTAACAATACTTAAGCCTGAGATGCAAAACTAAACATAAGTGCTTTATCTGTTTTGTGGCTATATTTGTTTTTAATGATTGATAATAGTTTCTTTATACCGTTGGGGCTACCTGGAGAGATGCAAAATGTAACCCTAAATGGCCAGCAACATCACCTGGTATTTCAGTGAGTGTTGCAGATTGTATCTGGGACAACTTTCAGAGGTCTGTCAGATGGTGTCAGCGCTCTCCCTTTGGGCTCACAGTCCACATTTGGGATTGTATTTCCAAACTATGAGAGGTGTAAAAGTGATGAATTGATTAATTGCAAATTGAACTACTTAAAGTGACTCAATGGTAAAGAAATTGGGTAGACCATATGTCTTATTGCTATGAAAAACTGGCCCCTTGGAATAGCTCAGTGGAAAGTTTGATGAAGAGCAGTGACACTTTCCCTTTTCAGATGAGGTCACTGTTCTGCGTGGGCTCACAGTTGGTAAGCAAAGTTAAACATCACTCTGATTGCAAAATGCTTTGAACTTATCTACTGAGCTTCACACTTCCAACAAAAATCTTGGCCTTCTAAATATTTATTAATCGCTACACTAAAGTGGCTTTAAGTTATGTACAACAATATGTCTGTCTCTTCAACATTTGGTCTTGGCTTATAAGCAGGTGGAGTGCAAAACGAGTAGATTAAAGTAGCCATTGAATTTAGATTAGGAAGTATATTACTATACATATGAATATTGCTAGAATGCACTTTCCACTTGTTCCTTGCTGCAGTTTGGATATACATAATAAATAGTTTTGTATATAATCTGATATTTCTGCATCTGGAGAGGTTAGCATACACTGTAAGGAGGTAATATTTTAAACCCTGAGAATATCCAGAATTACTTTTATTTCCTTGGGAAAGCTACTCGGCAACATTGAAAGCCTAAAGAGAAGACACATGAATTTCTTGCTGTATTTTCTGCATATCTGAAACCTGAAATGTTTTGTGGAGACTTTTGTTAGTGAGAAAGTAAAATTATACTTCACATTGGACATGATGACTTGTATCTGGAAATGCAAGGAGAATTATGCTTTAAACATGAAGTTTTTGCCATTTTTGTGATGCAGTCTTTAATGCTGTATAGAAGGAAATGGGGGCGGGGGGGTGGGGACACAGGGAATGAGGCAAAGTATGGTCAGAATATTCTTGGTTACAGAGGTTGAAGTGAAGGGTTTGACATTGTAGGTGATCTGTACTGCAGCTGAATTTCCAGACTGTTTAAAACAGTAATGCTTTCAAAGAGTTCTCAATTGATTATTGAATGACTGAGTGTGACTTAGACCAAAATTTTTCATTCAGTGTCTTGTGCTATGGATGTGTATGTGAATGAAGAACAGAAGGATTTTCGACACTAAACATATTGAACCAGTTTTAATAGAATTCTCTGGCTCTGGATTTAAATGGAAGGGAGAAAAAAGGCAAAAGTTGAAGTACCATAAATTTTGAAATTACATAATCAATTTTCCAGTCACGTTTGCCTACAACTAAATATAAATCTATTACATTTGTTTTTTTCATATTTTTTGTAATTAAAAACATGAATTGTATTCATATTTTTGTTAGCAGCAAAGGGTTTAGCTTCTTTTGGGGAGGTGCTGGCCAGTGATGTGGCTGGAATCGAGTTTGTTGGTCTCTGAGGGTTAGTTTCCTCATTAGTAGAATGAGGATAAAGGAGCTGAATGTTTTTTTGAAGAAATTTAACACTAATGTCATGTGCACTATACAAGCCAGGTTACTATTAATAATTATAATTATGCTAATGATAAAGCTACATGTGAATTGTGTTCAGTAGTTGTAAAGCTTTGAACAGAATAGCCCAGTAATGGGAAATGCCATACAGACTTAATAGCTGGACTCTGTTATGGACAAAATAAAACCTGATGGTTTTAACCAGGGCAATTATGCAAGAAAGTGCTGATTAAGGAATTGCTGTCATAAAAACATGTATACATAAGATAGAAGAAGAAGTATACATCTCAGTGAAGGAGATGTCTGTTAAGGCAAAAACAGAAACTGACTGAGACTTAAACTATGGGGGTGTGTCCAAACACAGGGACTTCAGCAGTAGTGGAAAGACCATTTCTGCCATTTTGGTATTTTAAAATTTGGCTCAAATCATTACTACATCTTTAGTTGTCAAGTTTGAAGAGGAAGAATTGCTTAAATTTGGGGAATAAAAAAGCTTTATCTTCTAGTGATTCCAGCACAGTCATACCACTGAAGTCCTTTGAGCACAAGAACATTTGAGCAAAAAGACCCTAAAAAGGTGTTGATAAGTAGTAATCCTTACGGGAGACAGCCTGAATGCTGACTGAAGTGCTGTGCTAGGTTGTGGAGGGGAACGGAGGAGGAGCAGGCAGGAAGTCATGCCAGCAGTTGCCTTAACTTGTATGTAGCCTGTCACATCCGCTGTTTATCAGATCTTCTGAAGTGACAGATATTTTCCTTTGCAGAAAACAGTCACAAACAATCAAATCAAGTGGAACTTAAACTAAAGCAGTGTTTGTAGACATTTTAAAACAAGAAAGTAAAATAATTTTAATGTTTCAGGCTGTTATGATGGAATTAATGCAAGTTGTGTTGATAATAGTAAGGAAAATAGACAAAATCAATAATATCACCTGCATGATGGAAAGCTACTGCTGTAGTATGACTTGATAAAATTGTTCCACTTTCTCTAAAAGTATAATTTATTTACTATAATCTCCTACTGTTCTGTTGGCATAGGAAAGCTGAGCTCACTATACACAATCTTATACTAGAAAGCATACTGTGCCAGAAACATGCGAATGTAGTCTGTCTATCTTACTTTCATGTTTGTAGTAGGATGTGTCTTCTGCTTGGTGGAAACTTTTTCTTGAAGGTGTGGGAATCTATGCAAATAATTTATTCATCTGAGATCAAAATCAAAATTGATAGAAATCGTGTATGGGAAAAATTCAATTCCTGTAGCATCTTTGCCCAAAGACAGTGTTACAGCCACCTGCAGTTACTCACTAGAGAAACTTGCTTGATAAGCTCATACTTCACTATTAAGTGACTGTACTAATATCCAGCTATATAAATTAGGCTTGATTTTTATTCTCTCTCCTCTGTTTTCCATTAGGACAGCACATAGTAGCTCTTACTGAATTTGGTAAAGGTTAGAGATCACTTATTTTATTAAAAGAAAAATATAAGGCGTCTGATCTATGTTTTAAATCTTCTTTTAGTTCACACTACTGTATTCTAAAGACACCATTCCCTTACAAAGCTACACTGTAGAGGGCTTTTAATGCAATGTATGAGTAGAGCACTTGGTTGTGGTTTGAGTTTTTTGAGTTTTTTTGTTTTGTTGTTTGTGAATCATCTCTGGATGTGTGGGAGTTAACCATTCATTTTGTCTTTTTAGGGACCTTTGTCGCCAGGATAAAGCATGTGAATATTACTTCAGCATAGATGCAGATGTTGTGCTGACAAACATGAAAACTTTAAGAATACTGATAGAACAGAACAGGTGTAGTATGTCTCTTGTTTTTATAGAATTTCCTCTGGCTTGAGAGGATTCTCTGGGGCCCCTCCAGAGAAAATAAGATCTCGTCTGTTCTTGCAGAGTTAGATCCTCTTTGTTTACCTGTTGTATTTGATTGCCATAGTTTCTAACAGGCTCGGAGGTGAACAATTCATAAAGCATTTTGTTCCTGTCAAACAGCAATTCCTGATGTGAGTTTCAAATGCTTCAGAGTTGCTCTGAAGAGAATGGTATGGTGTAAGCAAGTTTTATGAAATGAATTAAGACTTCATTGAATAATGATTTCAATGTTGATCACACACAAAATGTTAAAAAAACCCAAACAACAACAAAAAAAAACCCCCACAACAAAACCAGACAAAAAAAATCCTTAGAATTTACTAGTCTGGTATTGCAGTATTATTACTTTATTCTTAAATCGTAGATGCAAAGAAATAGCAGAAAGGTACTGTAGAAGAAGGAGCAGTAATGACCAGTTTCTCCTTGTATTAGTGTGATCTCTTAAGTTATACAAAACTGTGACTTTATCAGCAGCAGCTTTCAGTAGACTGGGCCTGCTGTGAATGCTGTGCACTTCACTCCTGCCGATTTGTGAATTCCCACGTTAGGGAGGCAGGTCGCATTTGCCTATTCATAACAAATCTGAGAATCTCAGCTGTATTACAGAAGGATAAATTATCAATCTCTGTTTTGACCTACTAGTGAGAAGGGATGGAGCTTAAGTAAAGATGTGCCTGCCAGCGCTTTGCATTATATTCCTTGTAATGTTTACTGTTGTGGAAAGAGGCTAAAAGCCAGGTACACTAGGTGGAAGAAACAGAAGCTTTACAAAATTTATCTACTGGTAGGCACACTCTGAAACAAAGTGCTATTTTATTCTTTTTATTCTAGTCAGCTTAGATTTCCCCTTTTAAGTCTATTAAATTTTGGGGTAAGCTAGGTCTCACTGTGTAGTGTTTTGGGTTTTTGGTTTTTTGTGTTTTTTGGGGGTTTTTTCATGTGTCTGATTTTGTGATGCTTTTGTCATTATGCTATGGGCAGTATTTTTTTGCTTGACTGAAAATCAAGCCCCCTCTGATTTAGAGGAAGCTTGGCTTCTGTTACACTGATGTTGTTTCTGGGCAGTGAGTGGTTGGATGCTGTTTCTTCCAGCCTAAGTTCAGAATAGCTGTTCCAAAATTTCAGTCATTGGTGTTTTAACTACGCTATACTCCAAAATGAGTAAAGCTTGTATATTTTGTTGTATAATGTACATATAATGGTTCATATTTTCATATTTGATGTATCACTTCACAGAAAGATAATTGCTCCACTCGTAACTCGTCATGGGAAACTTTGGTCCAATTTTTGGGGTGCTTTGAGCCCAGATGGCTATTATGCTCGATCAGAAGATTATGTTGATATTGTCCAAGGGAACAGAGTGTAAGTAATTGTAAGCTAATTTTTAAAGTCAAGGCAGCCAGTATGGTTATTAGCAACATATTCTTGTATTTTTGCGCAATATGGTGTTATTCCTGAAGAGCTTAAGTTAGTTATATTGTTTAGCTTTTTCTATTCCATAGAAATGCATTTATTTTCCCATTTGTTTTTTCCCATTCACAGTTTGAATAAAAAAATCAAAGTGTTTAACACAATGAGCTGGTGTTAGTAGTGGACACAGTCATTACTAATATCTGTCTGATTTTGTCTGGTTACTCTAGCAGTGCATAATACAGAAAATGGCAAGACAAACAACTAGCAAACCCAACACTCTGTATTCCAGGAACCTCAGTCAAAAGAAATGATTGTTACATTAATCAAATGACTTCTTCATCTCTTTGGAGCAAATGTTTAATCAACTGAACAGCTATAATAGGTTCATGTGTTCCTTCCTGTATTATGTCAGATATATCCTAAGGAACTCTTGAGAAATAACTTTTTTTACGTAGCCTTTTGGGTTTGTCCTTCCCCTCAATGAATATGATACAAGTTGTTCTAAACTTGACTTTCGCATGTGGTGATGCCTTTTCATTGCCCTGTAAAGACACAAAGGTCTGAAACAGATTGACTGCTTGTATAGGACTGTCTTGTTTTCAGTTGCACTGAAAGATGTGCTTGTGGTGCTGGGAGGGAGAAAATCTGCAGAGTAAGCATTGTGCCAGCAATGCTTTTTTGTTGATTTTGCTCCAACTAACATAAATACATGGTCCACTGTGGTCTGTGTGTATTTGTGTGAGGAGGTCAGACCAGCTGTGTGAAGCCTCAGTGAAGTCTTTAAACTCATTTAAAAATCTGTTTTAGAATTACTTTCTCCATCTGGTGGTGTAGAATAACATTATAAGAGTTTGACTGATTGCCTTAACTATGGAAACATGAAGTACATTAGTAGTTAAAATTCTTTAGAGAATTTGACCTTTCTATTTTTTTGTAACAATACTTCATAAAAGCTGAATTACTGCCTGTGCCTATGTTTGAGATGTCCGCAATGTCCAGCTGTAGTTTTTCAAATGTCTTGGGAACCTTTCAGCTTAATTTCCTTGAAACTTGCTTAGTCTTGTCAGCAAATACACAGATGCTGATTTGGTAGAATAGGCAACAAGTGAGTTTTCATGACTTTAAACTATTTGCATTTGGGTTTTTTTTACAGAGGAGTATGGAATATTCCTTATATGGCTAATATATACTTAATTAAGGGACAAACTCTCAGATCAGAGATGAAAGAAAAGAATTACTTTATGCGGGATAAGTTGGATCCTGATATGGCTCTCTGCAGGTATGCCAGGGAAATGGGAAGGTGTATCTATAACCGCTTGCTTTTAAGTACACAGACTTCTTTTTGTCCTGCTACACTTGGCTGCTTTACTTGATTGATCTTGGATATTATATTTTTACTTCTAATTCAAAGTACTGGCCAATTTTTGTGACATAGCCCACTCTGGGTGTATTTCTTTAAATTATTGAGAACAGGCTTTTGCAAGGCCAGTGCACTGGTGCACTGACTACATGATGGTTTCTATTTAAATTCACTGAAAATTCTATTGAGGTTAAAATACCTTCCTTGTTGGTGCAACCTCAACAGATGAAAGAGGGCTCAACTTCTCTGCTGTGTGTGACTTCAAATTTATCAATGCATTTAGAGCATCCCTATTATGTACGTTTTCATACAGTATGAAACTTATAGCAGACTAAGTTGGCATATTTTGCAATTTTGTATTAAGTAGATACGTATTTAAACTAATAATGGGCAGTGTTGATATAAAAAGCCTAAGTGATTTATGAAATGGTAAGAATCTTCTTAGGGGGCATGAATTACTCATTAATTTTTCCAGATAGATTGTTACATTACATAGATGATACATTTCCAGATGTATCAGAAATTTGTTCCTTGCATTAACTGTAAGTAATGAGAGAAAACGTGTTTGTACTGTTAAAATTGTGAATATGTAAATCCACATCTCTAGTGATATTTACACTAGTTTCAGCACAGAAACAAATAAGACCTAAACCAGACCTATTTCCAGACACTATAGCGTTGAAAAATAATTTTGCTGAAGTGAACAAAAAAGTTGGCAAGTATTATTTTTTTTTATTCCCTCATAACAAGGCATGATCCCCTTTGTACTGATTCTTCAGAACATCCTTGTTCAATTCTGTTGTATTCAAACCCTCTCAGCATCAGTTATTGCAAACCTGTGCATGGTTCCATGCGCTCATTCAACTAATCTGACTGGCTCATCAGAAAATTGCTTTCTCTTTTCCTCTTTCTCAGTCTGCGCTATAAGATGGTCTGGTACGTGCTTGATTTTGTATTGCAGCAGATGAGAAGGGGCTGGTGGAAACAGCTTTGACATGTATATTATGAGCTTTGCTTGGAGATGCATGTTGTCTGTAAAGGCATATCAGCTTTGGATCAAAGGCTGCTATTTCCCTAATGTAACTGTGGAAACCTAATAGTCGGAAAAAGAGAGATTATTTCTCAGAAAACTGATATGATGATTCTCCTTCATTTTAGAGTTTACAAAGGGAAAAAGACTCCCCTTCTTCGGAAACATTCCATATGCTCAGACCCCCAAAGGTTTTGCTTTATTTTATTTTTATTCATTAGTTATTATTACCTGCAGTATTATTCTACCACAGGAAGATACTTCTCCTCTGTCCACTTACTCTAGTGAAATACTGCTCTAGCTTTCTCTTCAGTCTTCTGAGGTTCAAGTTTTTGGCAGGGACAGGTTCTTCATGATCAGATCAAAGCATCTGAGAGAGGCTTGTTGTTTCCTCAGGGAGGTTTCTTAGTGCTTCTGAGGTCAAGGTGTGCTGAAGCTGTGCTTCTATAGCTAAAATTGATTCAGCAGTCCTAGGAAGGACTACAGCTCAAATCACTAGTAGGTCTACCAGGCCCCTTCAGTGACCACGTAGGGCAGTTGTGAAATCGGTGTCACTTTAAGCTGTTTTTCTTGACCCAGACCCTCCTTATTCTCTGTGCTGCAGCTATTTTATTATTTGGTAAGTGCCCCAAACTGGGCACATGTTTAACATAATAATTGTCTAACAGTTTAACTCTTTTTCAGACAAAAACATAAACCGAACTAGCAAAGTATCCAAATGGTAATGTCTTCATCTGCTGCCAATCCAAAAGTCACGAACACTTCAGAAATGAAGTTTTCGTCTGAAAAACAGTAGACTAAAAAAACCCCACAGAACCTAAGTTTCTTTTAAAAAAGACTATTTTCTGCTACTATTTCTAATCAATAGACTTTTGTTAATATCTTTTGTTAATAGCTTGATAATAAAGCTGTATCTTACCACACTTGATATCTTGCACATATTTTGCAATGTTTGCTTAGGTGAACATACTTTAAAGTGCTCAGCTGTTTTGTACCCTGATCTGACTATTCTTATATGCTGTATTTGCCAATATCTTTTTATTTCAGGCCAATTCACCAGAAGGATCATGTAGTGAATACTCTGAAATATGTTTCTTGTTCTGACTTCCATTAACCTTTTTATTGTTAGCTTATTCTTCCAGTTTTTAATCAGAAACTAAACCCTAGATGTTGGTTTTCTTGTGTGAGTATTTTCAGTTTGAGAACAGGTGTTTCCAGCATATCTGCATAGGTTTTCTCGAAAACAAATCACCCAACCACTTCTCTGTTTTTTCCTTTCTATAACTGCATGTGGGTTTACATTATGAAAAATATGTGTTTTGGTTTAATGTGTTTAGGAAATAAATTCAACCAAATACTTGTAAACAAGAAATTGTGAATGCTAGTTGGTGATTAAAATCAACCATTCGAAAATTAAAAATGCTAAATGAACAGCATGTGTGTATGTATGTCTAAGTATGATACATTTTCTGAAAGTGCAGGCATAAACAGAGTTTTTAAAACATCATTTTTGCCAAGATGGACAGTTTTGCTAATGGTATTTTCTCTATTTGGTATAGGGTGTTTTCATGTACATTACCAACAGACATGAATTTGGAAGACTTATTTCTACAGCCAATTACAATACCTCCCACTACAACAATGACCTCTGGCAGATATTTGAAAATCCTGTGGTATGCATCTGATTATTGGTGAAAGTTATTTTATTTGGAAAAATTGTAAAGTTTATGTATTACGGGATTTAAAGACTTTAATGGATATATTTTTTTACGGCTTAAATACTGGTTGTGTACTAGAAGCTGTTTTCTACTACCCATTTAACCAAATGACAATATATCATATCAGCAAGCCAACTGATGACCAGAGTAAGGAGTTGGAGAGATGGCCCTGATATAACAGGTTTCATGATTTTTGACATGATGAGAACCGGTTTGTTTATGGGTGTAAGAAGTTGTTTAATTTTTTTCCATGCTTTCAGTAGAGCAAATAAATAGAATATAAATTATTTTTTGTCACTTATAAATTATTTTGTTCTGTTTTAATGTTTTAAAATCATGTTTTTAGGACTGGAAGGAAACGTATATAAATCCCAACTACTCTAAGATCTTCACTGATAATATAGTAGAACAGGTAGGTGTAAATAGCAGATTGCTGTGATTTCTGGCATCTAGTAAAGGCAAGCTCATCTA